TTATGACTCCAAGTTGGCGCGACATAAATCAGCTCGTAAACGTAAACAGATCTAGAATATTCCAAAGTGTGTCAAAAGCACCACAAAATGATTTACCTCGAAGGTACGTTAGAGGCGAGACTGTTACTGCGCATGTCATCCATTGACAATGTCCCTTTAAATGCTTGAGGAGAATTTTGAAGATAAGCTGGATCAAAAGACCACATCAGTAATCAAGAASTACRTAAAAGAGCAAACACAGAACGACTAAGTAGAGAAGTCAAGAGAAGAAGGTGATAGGCCACGTATTGAGACAAGACTGWGAAAGTCACAGTAACATAGCCATGACCTTGGCACTTGAAGGGAGGAGTAAGCGATCAGGAAGACCGAAAAAAWCTTGGAGAAGAACTGTAGAGAAGGAACTAGAGGAGAGKCGGGGTGGAAGACGTGAGATGGGGTGCGGACAAAGGCGGCTGACAGAGTAGAATGGATTCAAATATATCCATTTCGACGTGAACTTTAGCAAATATGAACCTCTCCGAAATTTTGGAAAAATCGTGTTAAAATCCAGCAACGCCTGAAGACTAGACTGATTCTTCGCTCCTCGGTTTTCGGTTTGTAGCGACAAAAACTCTGACACAGAGCAAACTGCGACCGACTTATGCAATCAGTCTATCTGAAGACGTAAACAATCAATAGAAACGTCAATATCGCAATTTAATTCAATTTTAGTTACTCAATGCTTTTCATCTTCGCAAATCGATTTCCCGGATGACTGTGCAGAACCGTCGAAGTTATGACAAAATTGGCGGGAAAATATGCTTTGATTTCGCTCTCCTCTGGATTTTTTTCTTGTGATTACTTTTTCTAATATTATCAATTTGGAAGATAAGTGTTTGAGAAAAAAATTCGATGTTTCAACAAATATTTTAGCGCTTTTGGAGTATGGTTTTCCTCTCGTGGTACACGGACGCCCGAAGGAAGGAAGGAAACGTAGCGTACGCGGCGGAACCCTTTTTCTTAGATATGGTGCTCCGCTCGCGCGGGAGCTTCGCTATAATCTATTTTACATATTATTACAGTATTAAACAATGTCATAATATTAGTATTATAAAGTGGGAAAAACTTTGAGAATAAGAAATAAGAATATGAATTTTCTATGATATGCCGCAGACATATGATGTAATGTTTAAAGTCCGACAATGAGGACTGGACGGGGTTTCAAGTCCGCGCAATTAGTTCCAGTCCGAGGCGTTAGCGCGCCAAAGCAACCGTCGAGAAAATCAGGGGGGACATAGAAAACTGCACTAAAAAGTTTTTAGGATTTTTAGATTGCGAAGGTTCAAGAATTATTAATTTCTTCCACAGTTCTATAGGGCGCTATTTTTGAATTTTATCGAATGA